TTAGGCTCTGGATCTGCAACTTTCCCAACTCTCCACAATCCTTGAAGTTCTAATTAGTCAATCAGCCTTGAAGAAGGTTCAGGGGAAGGTCAGCTTCTTTCTGGGAACTTTCATTCACATATCACACACTGCTTACTATCACACTCAAGGAGGAAAAGTTGGAAGGCTTTCCTCTACGACTGAGAAGAAAATAACTGTGCCCATTCCCCACTTGTAAACAGCGAAGTACTGAGGGGCTTGGAACAGTTAGGCAAGGGGAAAAAAAAATGGAAAAGCATTCATGGTAGAGAGGAAACCAATCAACCTGTTTGCAGATGTCTGATCTTCATATAGGAACAAAACAAACTCCACCCCCCAAAACTACTAGACTCAAACTAAGCTGAGTTTCAGGGCAAAAAAACAAAACTCAGGGTCAGACTAGAGGTAGAACAACTGCCTACCAGATGTGAGAATCTGGCTTCCATCAGCTCTGTCTGTGTAAGCCACAGACACTAGGGCAGGTGGCCTGGCTTGCCCCTGGGCTGCTCATGTGGCCACACCCAACACCTGCTTCAAGTGTAAGGAGTGCCAGGCCATAAACCCTCCTAGGCTGTTGGTGATTCCTCGGCTGTCAAGTTCAGTTTGAAGAGACACCAGCCTCAGGGAAGTAGACTCAGCAAACTGCATATTCTATGAATTCCAGAGAAAACCTCAAAGGACTGGATTTTCTAGATGGCTTTCTCAGGTTACTAATAGGGATGGAAGAATGGGGTTGTCAGACTTACAGTTGAAGAAAGCTACCACCTCTAACAATCAGGACCAACTCCTTCCGCCATTCGTGAGAGAAAGGCTTTGCTGCCTCTCTTGGGGTTAAAACACTGCACAGGCTGCTCTGTTCCCATCTTGGGACTGTTTTGGTTTCTCATGCCTCACAAAAGTTTTCTGAGAGCCTTTCTACACTGTTTCCCCTTACCTGCTGACCTTCTGTGAGGCTTCCCCACCCCTGGTCCCCGTTAGTTTAGTTAGAGTGATGGTAGCAAGAGGAATACATCTCCTGAATTTTCTCCTTCCCCTAACCACTGGAATTGCTGGAAGAGGTCTAGCCCTAAGGTGAGGAAATGGAACAGGAGGTACAAAGTGCTCAGGAACAATGAAAATCCCAGGGTCTTGTTAACTGCAAGCTGACTGAGCAGGCAGGTCCACAATGCTGCATTCTGACAAGCTCTCAAGTGGCACTCATGCTGCTAGGCCAGAGCAAGCTCCTGTGATGGTCTGAATGAGAATGGCTCCATTGGCTCACGCATTCGTGACTGGTCTGAAGTTGGTGGGAACTATTTAGGTAGGATTAGGAGGTCTGTGACTAGGCCATTTCCAGTTAGCTCTTTTTCTCTGCCTTGTACTTGTAGATGAGATGTAAGCACTCAGGTTGCTTTAGTACCATGTCTGCCTGCTGCCATGTTCCCAGCTATGATGGTCATGGACTCCAACCCTCCAAAACTAAGCAAGCCTCCAATAAACTTTTCTGTGAGTGCCCTAGCTTCTAAGTAGCAAGGAGCAAGACAGTGAAGTAGAGGGGTGGAAAGGGAAAGACAACCTTCAGAAGAGGTCACGTGTGCTGCTGTTGCACACATCATCTTTTCTGCAAGGATTACTTCATACCCTCCTGGACGGTCCATCTAGGAAAGCAGCCCTGCCTCTGGAGCAGCTCTGTCATGTAATTCCTCAGAAGGGATGGATGGCAGATGAGCTCTCTGGCATCCTTGGTCTTACTCCAGGCCCTGCCCCCTTAACGGAGTGACCTTCACTTTTCCTGGCAGCAGCTTTATTTACGGAATGCTAATGCGCTTAGGAATGTGCAGAAGCCCTTCTAAATCTATACTTCACTGAACTATGCCAATTTCTCCCTCAGGAAATTCAAAGCTCAAGATGATTTGTCCTACATCTCATGGCTAAGAGTGCCCTCTCCTCCCATGCACTAAACCATAAACCACACACCTTTGGGACAAGAAGCCTCAGGATAAGATTAAGATGACAAGTCAAAAAGCTAAAAAGCAATGACTGGCAGGTGATACTTCAAAGGCCAGAAGTCACACTATGGTGATGTCCTAGTTGTACTCCAAGATGCTCTTCTGAGCTAGCTGGTCAGTGTAGACTCTGGACCCACAGATGAAGCAGAAGGCTCCAGGCAGAGGCTGATTCATCAGAGAGTACCAACTGTTCAGTGGTAGCTGTCCTGCATGGCAGAGGGTGGAGGAAAACATAGGGAAGTCTGAATTCAGCACAACCAGTTCACTCATCCACACTGCAGAGGGGAATGCAATGCCTACATTTCAGCTCTTCATTTGACAAATAGTTGTTGGAAGGAAATTTGAAGTCTGGGCAAAGAAATAACCAAGTCGTGGGGACTACAGTGAATTGGGAAACTGCTCAGTTAAAGCTACCTTTACAACCTGCTCCAATAGCTCAGCAATCCCTTTTAAAAGAAATCAAACATAACGCTGCATAACTTTTTAAACAAAAAACAAGTGACCATTAGTTTGTAACCTCCATTTCTCAGTGACCATCCATCTTTTTTTGTTATACCTCCAGGAAAAAGGAAACAGTCAGTTCGTGTCTGATATACTGCTGTAGCCATATGTAGCACTTTCACTACAATGGCAACAAATGGCTCTGGACTCTTCATCCCAAGCAGAACATCAGGAGTAACTGAGGTCGTGTCTGCTTGGATTTCTGGGAAAGAGTAACAGTTGTTACAATTACTTGTGCCATCTAGTTTAGCCAACAGCCGAAGACAGCAGGCTGCTTTTGGGCAAATATTCATTTGATAAATGGCCTTGGTCTCTACTGCACATACCCATCTGCATTCCTTTACTTATTCAATCCCCAAAAGCATTAATTTAAGCTTGGGAATTTTTTCCTACATAGGACTTTGCAGAGATTAAAATCATACAGAATTCATGAGAGTACAAGGTCTCAGCAAACAGTTTAAGAAATGTTTACCAGGGGCTGGAGAGATGACTCAGTGGATAAGAGCATGTAGTACTCTTCCAGAAGACCTTAATTTAGTTCCCATATTAGTAGCTTAATAGCCTGTACTTCCAGCTCCAGGGGATCTGGCTTCTGTGAGCATCCATGCACGTGAGCCATATACTCACATATATGCCTAAACTTTTTTAAATCTTAAAAAAAAAGTTTACCATTATTATGGAGACTTAGACCTTTTTCTTCAAGATAGCCTTGGCTCTGTAGACCAGGCTGGCCTCAAACTCATAGAGATCCACCTGCTTCTGCCTCCTGAGTACTGGGACTAACGGTAGACACCGCCACCACATGGCTAGACCTTTGCTATAAAGCACCAAAGAATACAATTATAGTTATTGCATGCAAGTCTGATTTTGGCTTAAGAGATAGTTGTGTATCTCTTATTAATGAGGCCACCAAGATGAGGTTACTGGTGTGATTAGTGTCATTCCTTGTGGGACATAAGGGGGGGGGGTTTCCTATCCCCAGGCAGAAGTCTTAGGATGCTCTGATTATGTACCTATACATGACAAAAGAGTCATCTATGACATAGTAAGAGGATGGTATGGTAGAGGGTGTGGCTGATAGAGTCCTAGCAACAGTGAGGCCTCCAGATTGGCCATTGGGGGAAAATGTGTATGGCTTCCTTGGATACATAAAGCTATGTGTAATAAAGCAAAAAAACAAAAAACAAAACAAAACAAAAACAAAAAACCCAATCACAGAACCATACAACTGGGCCTGTTTTTGGTTTGTTTCCTTTTCAGGATATCACTACATAACCTTGGATGTACTAGAATTTCCTATGTAGACCAGCTTGGCTTTGAACTCAAGAGATCCATGTGCCTCTGCCTCCAGAGTGCTGGGATTAAAGGTGTGTGCCACACCACCATGCCCACCAGGGGCATGTGCTTCTTGGCTCACAACTGTTTGGGAAGTAATACAAGGAATGTATGTGGGCAACATGGAAATAGATCCGCACAGATGTTACCTGGCATTCTATGCCCTTCTATCCTTTCTTTCTTTGTAGCATCAACCCTATAAATACCACCAAGCTCTTTGGTTTGGCTGAACAATCTAGCATCAGCTCTTTAAGCAGTGAGCGACAGAATCTTTAAATTAATGCCACTTCACACTGTACCAGTGAGACTCTAGAGGTGTTCAGCACCAAACCATTTGGGCCCCCCTCTAATTTTGAAACACAGCCAAACCTGTGTTTGGCTGCCCAGCAGCTGCTGGGGGTCACTGTCTTACTTCCTAAGCATGTAACTCCTCTGGAGAGCTCCCTAGCCCTATGGCTCTAAAGATACTATCTAAACACCAACTCTAACATTTTTACCTCCAGACAGGATGCAATCCAATTCCCAGATATGCAGCACTGCAACGATTTCCCCTCTGCATGGCTCTCCTTGGGTGCTGAGCAGACACCTCATTTCAACATACCCAAAAGTTATCTTTCCCCCCAAATTCCCCTATCCACAGCTTTCCAATCTCAGCTGATAATACATCCAGATTTCTAGCTGCCCAAGTCCATAACCTCAGGGAAAAAAACTGACTGAAAATCGGAGTCTGACTCATACAACAAAAAACAAAAAACAAAAAGAAAGCAAAAAACTGCAGTCTTGGTGCTGGGATTAAATTAATCAAATCATTAGAATGCTTTTCTAAAACATGCCTAAAGTTAATCATTTTTAAGTCTAGAATTTGAATTATGACACGAATATTTTTTTGAAAAAGTCACTCTTTGCAAGTTGAAAACCAGATTTGACCTAATACATTTGCAGAGATCTTGGCCAAGTCTCACAGTCTTTAGCAGAATGATGTCATAGCACCAAGTGCCAGCAGTAGGGTTATAAACTCTAAGTATACTTATCTATAGTTTTACTAAGAAACAGCCAAAGTCTAGTCCTTAAAGATGACTCACACATCCTCTTGATCTATGAAGGCCGCAGGCTCACCTGAGTTTTGTGGTAGGTAACCTAAGGAGAAACCAGAGGAAGTGTTTTGTTTTTGGTTTTTTATTTGAGACAGGGTCTTACTTGGAAGCCCTGGTTTTCTAAAACTCCATATGCAGACCAGGCTGGCCTAGAACTCAAGATTCACCTGCCTGTCTCCCAAGCTCTGGGATCAAAATGTGTGACACCACACCCAGTGAAGTTTACATTTTGAAAACCTACTTTGTGGTTTAAAAATTCTAGGTTGAGGTCAGTCAGGTGTGGGGGGTGTTGGTAGTTCACACCTTTATCCCCAGCACTCAGAAGGCAGAGGCAGGAGTATCTCTGTGAGTTTGAGGCCAGCCTGGTCTACAGAGCAAGTTCCAAGTCAGCCAAGGCTACACAGAAAATAGCTGTCTCGAAAAAAAAAAAAAAAAATCTAGGTTGCTGTCAATTTGTTTAAAAAGCCTATTACAGATGGATCACAGATATTTAGTTTTACCAGGATATAAAGGTAGAGTATACAGGATAAGACAGACACTTTAATTTTACCAGGATGTGAAGGTAGAGGAGAGTGTGAGGGATAAGATAGATATTTAAAAAATAAATTACTTAGTAATAAGAAACTAGACATAATACATTTTTCATATGCTACAAAAACAAGCAGACGATGAAGGCAAAAGGAAGGCTCACCCCAAAAGAGGGTAACACTTTCCACTATAGAATAGCCTGCTTTCCCAGACAATTAGCCTCACAGCTCTTACATGATGCATACGCATGTGGAAAAACTTGTCAAGCTTTGCCAGGGCCAGCAGACGAAAACATAACATGTCCTAATTAGCTAATTATAAAGCATGAGCATTTTGGAAAAGCATTCATACAATCCGGCCATTGTTTTGCTAAACATCTGCAAACTGTAGATTTCCTCAGACTTAGCCATAGTTCCTGCTTGATGTCTTAAAGTTGGTGCACTGTGTCTCTTCTCAAGGCTGAGGTGACTGCTAGTCATCAAAGTCTGGAATGTCATCATAGGAGTAACCCCGGTAGCCTTTGGATGCATAGTAGGCGATGCGCAAATGGTAAAATCCTGGCAGGAACACCAAAATGCCAATGATGAGGACAGGAACAGCTCGGTCTGCCCCCTGGTGGCAGAAGAAAAACATTAATACCATATAATTTATACCTTTGTGTTTCTTCTTTCTGATCATAAACCATCATCTCTTTTTTTCTGTGTTGGGGATTGAACGTTAGGCAAGCACTACACTCCCAATTTCCTTCTGATAACAAATTAAGCAATAAAAAAGAAAAACTATTTTTAACCAGAGCAGATTTTTCTGCTCTTTAAATCTGTGTGTGTGTGTGTGTGTGTGTGTGTGTGTGTGTGTGTGTACATGCCTGTGTGTTTGATGGGTACATACTATCTGTGTCTACAAATGTGCATGCAGATGTATGCATGCACACCAGAGGTTGACCTCAAGTGGCTTCCTCAAGGCTCTCCACCTTATTTTTTTTTTTAAGATGTATTTGTTTTAAATATGTATGGGCATGTCTTGGTCACTTTTCTATTGAGAAGAGAAATCATGATCACACGATTTATAGAATAAAGAGTTTATTGGAAGCTTGCTTATAGTTTGAGAATTAGAGTCCATGACCATCATGGTGGGGAGCATGGTAGGGCCCTGGAGCAGTAGCTAAGAACTTACATCTAATTCACAAGATAAGGCAGAACAGAGCTAACTTCTAATCCTTCCTCAGCAGTCCACCAATTGTGGATGGATGAATCACTCAAATAAATGAGCCTATGAAGGCTGCTTTCACACAAACAGCCCCATTCCACTACTTGGTCCCCACAGACTTGCTGCCACATCATAATGCAAAATGTATTAGTCAACTTCAAAAGCCCTCAGTCTTTCACAGTCTCAGCAGTTTAAAAGTCTAAAGACTCTTCTGAGACTGACAGTCATAGACTCTACCACTGCCTGGAACTGTGAGTCCTGAATTACATGCTTTCTTTTATAAGTTACCTTGGCCAGGGTGTCTTATCAGAGCAATTAAAAATAACCTAAGGCATCAATTTTGTTTGTATGTATGTATGTATGTATGTATGTATGTATGTGTACCACAAGTGTGCCTAATCTCCAGAATGCCCTACAACTGGGTTATAGACAATTGTGAGCAGCCAGGTGGGTGCTGGGAATTGAACTCAATCCCCTAGAAGAGCAGCCAGTGCTTTTAACCACTGAGCTATTCCTTCAGCCCCAAGATTTATTTCTGAGTATGTTTCCAAGAGGAGGTGCTAGAAGTGGTCAGAGGCTTCAAGTCCCCCTGGAACTGGACTTCCAGGCAGTTGTTAGCCACCCACTGAGTTTTGGAAATCAAGCTTGGGTCCTCTGCAGGAGCAGTATAGGTTCTTATGGGTGCAGCCATGCTTCCAGCTCCTCCGCCTTATTCTTGAGACAGAGTCTCATCTCTCACTGAAGCTGGAGCTCACCAATTTGGCTAGAACGGCTTGGCCATCCAGCTCTGGGGATCGCCTGCCTCCACCCTGCAGTGCTGGGGTCACAGAGCATGCCAACACATCTAGCTTTTTATGTGGGTGCTATGAACCAGAACTCAGGGCCTTAAGTACTTTCTCGACGAGCAACCTCTCCATCACTCTTTTCAAGTTCTTGTCCTCTCTCTAATATTACAATATTAATTACTAATAAAGCAATATTAAGTTAATTTATTGAAGCTGCACAACCTGTAATCCCAGCACTCTGGAGGCAGAGGCAAGAGGAACTCTAAGTTCAAAGTCAGCCTAGTCTACACAGTGAGTTCTAGGACACCCAGAGCTGCATAGAGAAACCCTTGTCTTAAAAAACAACAACAAAAATACCTCAAATATTGCTTAAGCTATAATGGCATGTAACATTTCCCTGAAATGCATGTTCCACAATTTTATTTAACTATCATCTGAGCAACTGCATGATTAATTTTTGTTTTTTGTAACTATACAACACCAGTAGGAACTGAATTTCTTTTCTATGGTATTTAAGAATGGACCTGCATTATGATCAGAATATCTGTTTTAACTTTTTGTTTGTCTGTTTTTTGAGACAGGGTTTCTCTGTGTAGCTTTGGAACCAATCATGGCACTCACTCTGTAGACCAGGCTGGCCTTAAACTCAGAGATCCTCCTGCCTCTGCTTCCCAAGTGCTCGGATTAAAGGCGTGCGCCACCAACACCCAGCATATTTAGGCTAACTTAAGACACAATACATAAACATAACCCATGAGAAAGAACTACCAAGGACCACTTAGGCTTTGAATACTGAAACTCAACAGGACTCAGCACACCAACAGAAAAAGGAACCCAAATACAAGGTGTAGTGGCCACATACTTACACAAGACTCCCAACTTCTCCCCAGACACTGATCAGCATGTCTACACAGCTGCAAAACTACAATGATGGGGTGTTACAGCCTTGTACTAGTCTGGAAGCTGGAAGCCAGGCACAGCTACATTATTCTAACCTGTATCAGAAGCCATACCCGGTAAGCACGCACTTACAGGAATTGTGGAAAAATTTGTTCAAAGGGGAAAGAAACAAAAGAAAACCATCCTTATCTTTTTAGTAGAATCTACTGTACTTGTGGAACATAAAAATAGTGCTCTGGCTCACAGGTGAAAGACCCAGGGCATATTCTCACATGCCTATTAACTTACCCCTTTGCTGATGTAGCCCGATAGCAGGAGAGAGCCTATGATTATGAGAAAGGTGCCAATCAAAAACAGCACAGTGGCAAGTGCAATGGCCTTATAAGGGATCTTAGGAGGGCTTTTCTTAAACTGGAAGAGAGAGAAAAAAAGAACATTATTAAAATATCAGCCTAATACACTGCAAAGCAGAGGGGATAATTAAGAACCAAAGTGGATGGGTTGTCTACTAGTTAGTGCAGCAAAGCTGGGACTTGAGTAGGTGAAGCTCCTGCTATTCCATAGGTCCCTCATTACAACCAAGGAAAGCCCTTTAAAACTACCGTCACCTAGTTGTTGGACATGCATTTACAACACACATGTGCACGGAAGCTCATACTGACCTGTGGGAATTTCAGAGTGAGCACCATGCTATCTACGCAGAAGTGAAAAGGTGACCTTCTGGAACTGAAGGTAACTAACAGGTAGTCAGTCAAAATTTAGAAACAGAATTTCAGCTTTTCTTGAAGATTTTCTTTTTAATTATGTGTCCCTGTGTGGGTATATTTCAGTGCAGGTGTCTGTGTAAGCCAAAGGAATTGCATCCTCCAAGAGCTGCAGTTACAGGCAGTGTAAGCCACCAGACATGGCTGCTGGGAACCCAACTTTTAGGCTAGAGAGATGGCTCCAGGGTCAAAGCATTTGCCTTCCAGATGACCTGAGTTCAATTCCCCCACCCACATGGTGACTCAGTCTGTAACTCCAGTTCCAGAGGATCTGACACCCTCTTCTGGCCTCTTTGGATACTGCATATTCTTAGTACACTGGACCAGGTCTGATTCCCAGTACCCATATGGTGGCTCATAACCATCTGTAATTCCAATTCCAGAAGATCCAATGCCTGCTTTTGACTATCTTTGGGCACCAGGCACATGCTTGGTGCACATGGAAGCAAAACACTCATACACTTAAAACATAAATGTAAAATATTAAAAACACTAGAACAATATGTGCTCCTAAGTGCTTAGCCCAGTTTCTGGCCCAAATTTCAGCTTTTTGTTTGTTTGTTTGTTTTTTCGAAACAGGGTTTCTCTGTGGCTTTGGAGGCTGTCCTGTAACTAGCTCTTGTAGACCAGGCAAGTCTCAAACTCACAGAGATATGCATGCCTCTGCCTCCCAAGTGCTGAGACTAAAGGCGTGCACCACCACTGCCCAGCAAATTTCAGCTTTCTTAAAGTATTCCATTATGAGTTAATTTAGGTCAACGTAAAGTTTCAGAGACAGATTAAGGCTAAATAAAATACAGCATGAACACATATGGGCTCAAGCTCCACCTAGAATACTCTATGCTAAGGAAAAGGGAAAAAGGAGCCACTACCCTACTGAAGGCAATGGTCAGGTGAGAACACAAACTTGTTTACTTTCTGTTTGCCATAAAGAGCATCTGTAACTAACTGCATCTCATGACATCAGGAAAGAAGATATTTTCTGGATAAGTTAAATAAAATCTGTAGCTACAAGGTTTTAGTACTTCGACTGAAACTGGAAACAGATAACCCTGGAACTGCTTAAAACCACCTTGTCAAGATCCCTTCTCCAAGCTGGGGCTGAAAGGGTCTTGGAAATAAGCTTGCTTTCTGATGGTCCCAATAACAGATACGCAGCTAAATGTTTTTCTATTTTATTTTATTTTTTTTGATTATGTTACCTGAAGGTCAATGTAGCCATCATCTGTGCTGGAAAGCCTTGAATATTTTACTTTACTACTGGGGATCCCAGCCGCCAGATTGGTACGAGATGGCATCATAACACGGTGGCACAGCTAGTCTGAAAGGGAAAGACTGTTACTGTCCATAGGGACACCAGTGCATTACAGGCAAGGACATCAGACACTGTGTACTAGAGTGCTGGGCTGCCACGTTATATCACATACATGGCACCCTCACTGCTCTTACAGCAACCTGGTAACCTTGGATACACCAAGCACATGTCTTTTATGTATCTGCTTGTCTTCACAGAATGACACCAAAGGCATTTCACAAAGAATCAGATCCAGTTTACTCTGCCACCGTTTCCTGCCTAATTCTTCTGCAGTCACACGGAGGTGAGTCAAGACTTGAATCCATGTTCACATTTCCAGCCCTCCCTGACAGTAAGTACTGCCTGCCCCTTAACTTTTCTCAGGCGCTGATTTTCAAGAAACTCTTTTTGCTTGCCATGAAATGGCAGGATAAGGAATGGAATACACTCACATCAGTATTTATTTTGTCCATTCTAAATGTGACATCATCCTAAGTGCAAGTGATCTGAAAACTCTTATCCATGAGGGTAACTTACTGGCTATCAATACCACACCAGAAACTTCAGAGCCACCTGCCTCTCTGCTCCCATCCCAAGCATGAAAACAAGTGGTTTTACTTCCCACATCATGTAGCTCCTGAAAAAATGGATTTGAAAGTCTGTTTTACTCAAACTATTCAAACCAGACAGCACTAATAAAATCATAACTACTGTATTATTTGAGGGTAGGAAAGATTTTAAGAAAATGACTTTTAAGCTGGGCATTGGTGGCTCATGCCTTTAATCCCAGCACTCAGGGGGCAGAGGCAGGTGGGTCTCTGTGAGTTCGAGACCAGCCTCGTCTACAGAGTGAGTGCCAGGATAGGCTCCAAAGCCACAGAGAAACCCTTTGGGGGGGAGGGGGTGTTGACGTTTGAATTTAAAAAAAAATGAAATTTGAGTTCAGTACTGCAGTAGATGACTGTAATACTCCTCCTACTTGGGAGGACTGGTGTGAATATACAGAGCTGGGAGCCAGTCTGAGCTGCATAGTAAGCCCAGATGTTCTCCTCTACCACAACTGAAATTTGCTAATTCTTTATAAAGTCATAAAATTATGTAAACAGATTTCGGCTTTTTTTTTTTTCCCCGAGACAGGGTTTCTCTGTGTAACAGCCCTGGCTGTCCTGGAACTAGCTCTGTAGATCAGGCTGGCCTCGAACACACAGAGATCCATCTACCTCTGCCTCCGGAGTGTTAGGATTAGAGTGCATCACCACCGCCAGGCTGTAAACAGATTATTTTTATTGCAAAAGTATTTGAATTGTAAATGTAAAAGTCTATTTTTAACAAGATAACTACTAAGTATTTCAATAGCCAGGCCTTCACTGGTGTGGTATTTTGCACAACATCTCCATAATGGCATGTGGTATTTATTCGATTTTGGTGAGGTGCCAGACACTGCTATTTACAGTCGACCTAAAGTAACTAGCATGCAAAAATTGGTGCCAAATATTCCTGCCTTTTTGTTCATCACATTCTAGTTCAGAATCCGAGTATTAAAAAGGAACAACGCAGATCCACTTGCGTTTCCAAAAATGTTAGATCAAGTTGCGTTAAGTACCAGGTTTTTGGTGTTGCCATCCCATTACATGCTTAATTCCTCTGAAAAAGTTCAAGCTACCAATAAACAGGAGTTTTGAGGCAATAAACTACGTCTGATTTGTATTACATGCTACAAAGTTAGGTAATCACATCAAAACAAAAATGTCTGAGCGAGAAGGGAAGACTTGCGCTTTTCTTAGCAAAGGATTCTAGAAGGGAGTTACCACATCCTAAGTGACAATTCTAAGAAATATCAGCCCAAGTTTCTACTATGCTTTTTACCGGTCCCCCGCAACCTTGGCCACCCCCCTTCTGCCCCCAAGCACCTGCGCGTGGCGCTGTGGGCAGCCTCCCGCCGGCCTCCACCGTCGCCACCCCGGTCAGGACCCACGCGAACTTAGCACTAACAAAACTGGCTCCGGGAAGCAGCCAGGGAGGTGG